ACTCTGAGCTCCCTGGATTCCAAATGGAGAAGCAGTGAGTGCCAGGGCACAGATGGGGCCCAAGCTGCTCAAGGGCAGCCTATGCCCAAGAGGGGGCCGTCTCAGCCTAAGGCCGCTTCTTCAGCACACTAACACTCAAGAACCGTCTCCTACACACCCAAACCTGCCTCACCCTAGGAAGTCTTTTCTGGGGCTGGTACCACAATAACGAAACTATGAGACAGAAGAAACAGTAGATAGCACGGACTCTCAGCTTTAGGGTTCCCGTATCTGGTAGAACATGGATGCCAGAGAACAGGGGCTAAATGGTGGTTTCTTGATGATGCCAGGATTGTTACTTCTGCACCTACTACTGACCTGCCTGGCAGCCTGATTAATTCCCCCCATCTCAGGGCTTTTTTTTTTTTCACCAAATACAAAGGACTGGAAAGGCTTCCGGGCTGTATTGTCTTGGATACCCTAACTTGACCATATGGCTCTCGTTCAGATCAATGGTCTTAGGTCATTGACAGTTGTACAGATGATAGAGGCCATGGAACCAGGAATGACCACTAATCACTTAGGGCCTTTCTACAGCAACGGAGAGACCCAACTAGGAAAGCCTCTAAAAGTCGATTCTGAAGCGGGGTGCGTTGGGGGTGGGGGGGATGCAATCATCTCTCCACATTTTCCCTCACACGTTTCCAACAGCTTTCCTCTCTTACCTTTCAGTACTAGAGCCTCCTGAAAAACACCAATAGCCAAGACTAGGCCAAGCCTCCTCTTCCTAGGGGTCTTATCGTTTTCTTTTTCACCTTCCAACAATAACACATTTAGGATCCTTTTACCACCAAGTGGCCTCATTCTATCTACAGAGCAAAGGCTGCCATGGCTAGACTACTGTGTTCTCTCCAGAAGGGCCCAGTGTCTGTTCTCTGAGGCTCCAGACTAACACGACCGTTAAGCCTACTTGCCAGCCATCTACTGCACCATACTTACGAAAGGCTAATTTTTAACAGTTAATTAGCTGGTCCTTGGAAAATTACTGGCACTTCCGCAGTCATTACTTCAAAAACAAACACACACACAAACACACAAAAGAAACACAGATCTAAAAAGAATTCAAGGGGAAAATGGGGCCATTTGGATTTTAAGACCAATTTTGTCAATTTGGTATAGAGCTATGACTCTACAATGAGATCTATTATTCCTTCTACTTAAGATAACTACTTCAGTTACTCAGATGCTGATAATTATTCACAAAGCCACCACTGAAACAAATGGGATGTTTTAAAAAAAAAATGGAATTGAAACCTGCATTTAAAAAACACCCACTAGTATCCAGAAAAGTCAGCTCAGAGAAATGAAGGCAACAGTTCCGTCAAGCCCACATCAAAGTACCAAAGTTCTCTGGGATTCCATCTTATCTGTGGCTTTGACTGAATTCTGTGAAAATATGTAGAAAAGGGTTGGAGAAATCTACAAAGACTCCAGAGCCCATGGTTTAGTAGAACATGTGGTCTGTTTTTACAGAGAGAGAGAGACATGCAGTTTTACAACTTTCTATACTAATGCACCTTTGAGGAGCTACATCAGTTTTAACAATGTTTCTGTTTTGAATCTCTTCCAAGCCCTAAACAAAAAGCAACTGTAGGAAGGCAACTTCACAACACTGAGATATCTATAGACAGGAGGCCAACGGCCTCCCTAACACTTCCTTGACAGTCACCCCCTGGACCTTAAATGAGGAGGGCCTGATCCCTTGAGGAGGCTGGTAACAGGACTACAGCTTTCCTTGAGGACTAGACTATTGTAAAGACCGTTAATGTTTATTTCACCGAAGTCATCCATCCTACTTACACCCACACTCTGTTGAATTTTTTCATACTAGCTCTACAAGGGATTTCCAGCCCAGACAATCTTCAAGTCACTTCTCAAAAACAATGATTATTGAAGGGCGGAGGAGGCACTGGCAGAGAGCTCCCAGGCTCTAGAGCGGCCATCCTCAACCCCTCTGGGGGCTGCATGTCAGATATTCTGCGTATCAGACATTCACACTACATCATGGCACTAGAGAAATTACAGTTAGGAAGTAGCAGAGAAATAAGAAGCACTAGTCCAGAGGATGTACTCTCTGTCCTCGATTTTACTTTTCAAGATTTCCAACAAGGAGCTAGCAGGACGGCTCAGAGGAGAGAAGCACTGGCCGCCAGGTCTCATGACCCCACAGAGAGTGGAAAGAGAAAAGCAGCCCCCACGATATCCTCTAACCACCGTAAGAAAGCTGTGCCACATGCGGACTCTGCGCGCGTGCACACACCCCACACTAAATACATGCAGAAAATACAATTTTAGAAAAAGGGAAGAATTTACTTCTAGGTACAACATCCCTTCCGGAGTGTGTGTTCATGAGACAGAGGTAAATTCTGCACAACCTGAGGTCAACTGGGCATGTCTGTGAAGCTTACGATGGGTTCATTGCTTTATACATTTACAGGTAGATGGCTACAGGCGAGGTCCCTGAGTCTGGAGGAGTTATAGAATCTCTTTTACAGACTGAGCCTATCCTGTTTGTTTGTATCTCCCCCCCCCCCCCCGCCATGGTTCTTCCAGAAGACAGCCAGGAAAGCTGGCCCTCCACACAAGGCCATGGAAAGCACCCACAGGGAAGCAAGGCATGCAGGCTGACACGGCTGAGCTCTACCTGCTCTCCCAGGGACCCCTTGTCAGCCTGAACTTGAACTGCAACCAGACACAGCAGCCTGAATGAAGGGGTCCAGGCTACCAGAGCCATACTGGGGCTCCCACCTCAACTTTCCAGGTGGGTCAGCCTATCTGACTCCACCCTTTCCTGGGCTTTACCTCAAGAAGAGTCAGGGGAGGGAATTATTAAGAACCCCTTTTTTTTAGGCTACTCAACCATCCATTTTATCCTTAAAATACAGACAAGCTCAACTCTAAGCAGTTATAATAACAACAAAAAGCAGGCAAAGAAAGCAATAAAGAAACAGAAGCCATCATATCTGGCAGGGAGGGCGAGCTCCCAAACACCTGCATTTAAGGTATGGCGTTGTAATTAAAGAACCTAGCGCGCTTTATCTGCTGAGCAGGAATTCTTTCCAGAGCACCAAGACACATTTATTGATTCCTTTGCTCTCGCCTATTCCCACAGATAAGAATCTCTGCTTGATGACATCCCCCACCCCCAAGAATAGGCAATCAATCTAAAGCTCAGCTGTCTCACCTCCCCTTTTAACTCTTTTTGGGCTACTGAGAAACAAACAGTGTAATAAAAGCATTTCAAAGAACCTCTGCCATGAAAGCCACCACCCAAAGAGACTACAGCTTGAGCTGCTCTGGGTAAGAACCAAAAAGGCAAGAGCCAAACTGTCAAGACAGAAACAAGTTTGGGTAGAGATTCGTGTCACATCGTGAAAACCTCCCTCCCCAACCGGCTCACACTCCAGCCACAGGTTAGCTGTTAGGCTCCTAAGCGGCAAGCTCCTCAATCACTTGAAAACAATCAAAGGGCAATGATAAGCATTTCCTTCTGCACAGACAAATCTCCACAGCACGCTGAGATAGCCAGCCGGTCATCTATGGGTTGTAGCCTATTCCCTTTTCAACTGTCATGGCATTCTGCCTTGAACACCAGGCCTATCATTACAGAATGCTTTAGCTGCTACCTCTGTTCTTTTATCTAACAGATTTAGAATACTCTGCTTTTAAAAAGACCCAGATACTCTCTCTCCCCCAGTGGCATTTTTATACACACATGCACACATGTACCCGAGAGATAAAACAAAGCTGAGAAGAATCTGTTGGTGCAAAATGAGAAATCAAATCCCAGCCTGGCTCAGGTGCTTGCTATTATAAACTATGACTAAGAGACATGAATTTCTCTATGATGCAACTCTCAAGAGAGGCGGCATTCTCCAGACCTCTCTTAAACCTGCTCATTCGCCAGTGACTAATGCTCTCTAGAGCAGCCCTGTGCTGCTCCAATTTCATCAGCCAGCTTTGTCCTTGGTAGCTCTGCCTGGACCATAAAGCCCCCAACGTGTTGCGGACAGCCCAGAAAGATCAGGGCAAAGCTAACCATGCCCTACCAGCATCAGGGGCCATTTGTGGGACTCCTCACTGCATTTACTCTCTTAAGGAACAAGCACTCAAAGACACTTGAGAAAAAGGCTTTACTTTACACAACAGTGGGTTCTAACAACCACATGAAAATCAAGTCATTCTGTGGGCACCCTTCCCCAGCTTGGAACAAAACTGACATGTTAGGTGGAACCACAATCGATAGGAATTTTCTGTCAAGTTTGCACCTTTGTGCCTTTCAAAGGAAAAAAATGTCAGATTCATCACTGGCTTTGCCTTAATTTATAACTTTTTTTCCCCCAACGCTAGTGACAGGCAAGACACGTTCTACACCAGAGCTATATCCTCAGCCCAAAGAATTAATTTATAAAACAAAACAAAAAGCATTTGAAGAAAAAAAAATATGATTAAGAGGCACTTGGGCTGGAGAGACGGTTTAGAGCACTTGCTGTTCTTCCAAGGACCTGAGTTTGGTTTCCAGCACCCACAAAACGCTAGTCACAACAACCTGTAAATCTAGTTCCTGGGGTTATGACACCCTCTTCTGGGCTCTGCAAGTACCTACACCCCACACGTTTGTTTGTGTGTGCGTGTGTCCAACCCAGGCAAATCTAAAAACAAGCATATGTTTGCCACAAGATCTTAGCTAGTATACTAATTTAAAATTCTGGAGTTCAAGCTATTAAGGTGAAAAGAAATTTTACTGAAATTACATTGAGTATATCTTGCCTTCAACAGAACCAGAAAGTGTTTCAATAAAGAATGAAACAGAAGTCTTCAGGACTAACCCTGGATTATTAAAATGCATGCATACCACTGCCCAAATCTTCTGGCTCTCACTGAAGTGTACATTCTAAATAGGAATGCTCCAAGACCAAACAATTTCAGAGTAAATGTGTCACCAATAGAAAGGTACTTACAGTTATCAGACTGAAAATCTGGGACAAATTGTTCATCATCAGGAACTTGAGCTGGAAAGAGATTTCTGTTTTAGATCTTTGTGTTTTACTAAAAGGCACAGTAAAATGTTTTACATGGAAAACAGGACAGTCAAGAAACTTGCCTTCAGCTAACCAAGCCTCTTGAAGTTGGCTAAGATCCTGAAACAACTCTGTAAAAATAAGAAAAAAAGAAAAAAAAAAAAAAAACAGACTCAAAATGGGGCTAGTCCTCATGCTAAGGAGAAGCGTTAAGGGAAGCATAATGCAGGGAGAGCTCCATTTACCTTCAGAATCATGAGCCAGATCTGTGTCCAAAAACTTCCTCTTTCTGTCAATCACAGGTCGCCCTCGACATTCCTCCGACCGAGATTTCTGAAAAGAGGCCAGCGAACGAAGATTCAAATGCAGAAAAGAGGTGCAAAGGGGCCCGCCCACTTCTCCAGGAAGAAGTCCTCTCCAAGGAGGAGATCAAGGACCAAACAGCACAGAAGCCAACTCACCCCTGGGACCATAAAGGGGACTTGCTGATCACAAAACCCGTCCATGGTGTTTGCAAAGTCTCTGATGCCACTCTGAAAGGCTTCAGCATTGAGTAGCTTCTTGGGGGTGGTGAAGAGATCCTCCTGTAACAGGAATTTGGGAGACGTGAACTGTGGTGGGATGGAGTTTCATAGTCCCCTTCCCCCTTCCCCTCTTTGATGTCCCTAAAGCCTACTCAAGAATGCTTATCTAACACACAATTTAGTACTGCCTGCCTACCTGTCTACTACAAAAGCCCAAACCAACCAACCAACCAACCAACCAAACAAACAAATCCCTTAACTGACTCTCACTGTAAATGTCCTTCCAGGACATTTGTTCCTTTTTCATTTCTTGATTAAGTTCTGTCACTGTGCTTGATAAGAACTAGGTAAACTAGGTATAAGTATTCTAAATTATTGGCAATTAAGAGACATATGGCTGGGCAGTGGTGGCACACACCTGTAATCACAGCACTTGGGAGGCAGAGGCAGGCAGATTTCTGTGAGTTCGAGGCCAGCCTGGTCTACAGAGTTAGTTCCAGGACAGCCAGGGCTATTGCATATAGAGAAACCCTGTCTGGAGGGGGGGGGGGGAACAAAACTGAAAAAAGGGGAGGGGTGAGAAAGGAAAGAAACTAAGATGCATTGAGTTTTTCAAAGTCTTCTGTAGGTCTACTTGTAGGTCTATGGCAAAAACACTAAGTACAGTTACAGGAACAAACTGATCAAAAGTAGACTTTCTTCACACACACCTCTTTATTTAAAACCCAAGCCTTCTGTCCAAACAGGTGTATACCTGAAATGACATAAGCATCTCCATGGAAACGTACAAAGATTATCTGCCATCTACTCAACTTCCAAAATAAAATATCTATACAGGCGATAAAGAAAACTCAACTCCACTGCGCATATTTAAGCATCTCCTACCAAAGGTAAAAATGAAACAACAAAAAACCAAAAGAAAAAAAAAAAGAAGAGAAACACAAAAACTTTCAAAGCAAAAAATATTCATGGCAAAAAGGTTCCTTTTCCAACAGTGACATCAAATTTCCAACAAAAACAGTCAAACACTGGTGAAGAGCTGGGCTTGAGAGAAGGTAACAAAAGCAAGAGGAGACACTTTTCCAGTGTGGGAGGGATTAACCAGCAAATTTAGGAGGTGTCACCCTCAGGAACTCTTAATTTTCCAACTAAAAACTCAGTGAAAAACAATGGCAGAGGTACAAGAATTCATTCGCCCAATCCTAAATAATAGAAATGCCTAAATGGCATTTTCTTTGAACTTGTACACAAACTAGGGAACTTTTTTCACAGTAGCCATTTCCATCTGCCTTGTTTTTCACGCTGCGAACACCATATCAAATTTTCATAAGTGAGCAGGGTACATTACAAGAAAACCCTTCACAGCCAGCACTTGGCCCAAGTAATCAGATATTTTCAAAGTCAAAGGAAAGAGTTCACAACTTCCTAGAAAAACACCCCAGCCGGCTTGCCTTCCACACAGTGCAAACATCGTTCAGAATGAGGCCTCTCTCTCCTGAATGTCACCAACCAGAACCCAAACCTGAGAAACCTTAGTACAGTCGAGAGGCATGAAAGAATTGTGGCCTCAGAAATTCTTAAATGTCTGTTGTGGGTAAAGAGGGCAACGCGCAGGAAACCAGAGGGTATAAAATATTTTTAGAATCTCATGGTGCGCAAACGTATCTTTTGAAAAAAAAAAAAAAAAAAAAACAAAAAACTGGTAAAAGAAACTGTCCTAAGAGAATCCAAAAGCAGCATCGAGGATTTTTCTAAGCGGCCCTTAGCGTTCAAGGGCTGGAAACATCGTGTTCAAAGTATCTTTTAAAAAGCCTGCGGGGAAAGCTCGGGTTCATCCTGGAGTTTTAAACCACTTCCTTTGTGTCGTCGTCGTCGCTCAACCCCCCCCCCCCCCCAATCCCGGGTGCCCCCAGGAAAACTTTAACTCGGCGCAACGACCGAACCGAGGCCCCTCCCCGTGGCGCGCAGCGGGCCTGGTTTTATGAATGGGAGAACGAGCCGCGGCCGCCACCGCAGGTAGAGGCTGTAACTAGATCCCTCGCGCCGGGCCCCATTCACAAAACAAGACACACTTCCACCCCATTTCCCAGCCTTCCCATTCATGAAAACCGCTTCAGCGGCGCCCCCGCCCCCACCCCCAGCGCACGCCGAGCCTCCGACGCAGGCCCCTCACCCCAGCGTCTCAGAAGGCAAGCTCAATGCTTCATTCACAAAAAAAAAGGGGGGGGGGAGAACCACAGGGAGCTCGCTCGCAGCCCACGAAAGAAACCTGCTTCATTCATAAAAGTCACCCACATTCAGAAAAAAAAAAATTAAAAAAGAGGTACAGCGCCTGGGCGCTACCGGCCCGCCTCTAATTCACTCCGGATCCCACACGCCCCCTCCCCTCGTCACCCCCCTACTTGCCCCCCCCCCCCACGCAGGCCGGACCCCGGTTCATGCATGAGGCCCCAGCATCGCTCTCGGCCGGTTCGCCACCGGTTCTCCCCCCCACCCCAGGCCGAGACCCAGGCGGCCCCCCGGCCCCCTCAACCCCCACGGGAGGGAGTTTGGCGGCCAAGGGGTCCGCTCACCGGTCTCCAACTTGCCAGGCCCGCAGAAGTTCGGAGCCAGCCCGCACCCGCAGACTGCACATGCCGCTGTCACCGAGCTCTCGGGGTTCTGGAGCAGCACCCCGGAACACTGCTGCCCGCCCCCCTCCCACCCAGGAGTCGCGGAGCGTCTCCTCTCGCGAGCCTCGCGGGGCCCTCGGGGGCCCACAACTCGGCGCCCCGCACCCCGTCCTTGCACCCCGCGCCCCGCACCCGCTCCGACACCGCGGGTGCCTCCTCCGCGAGGTGCGGAAACCCGCTCTCCGCTCGCTCCGGAACCGCTAGCCGCCCCCGCCCGATGCCTCCCCTCCCGGGAACCGAACCGGGCCTCGGGGGGCGGGGGGGGGGCGGATAGTTCGCTCCGGAGTCGCCCCGAAGCGCGACCAGCGGAGGACTGGGAACCAGCCCGCACCTGAGCGGCCGCTCCGCGCGCCCGCCTGCGCGCCTCGGTGGCGGGCCGGGCCGCAGCGATCGGGGATGAGGACCGCTCCGCACGCCGGCCTCCGGACTCTGCGCCGCCCTGCAACCCGCTGCAGCGCCGGCCCGGCCCCCGCCGGCTCCGCCCGCCGCCATTGGCCCGCGGCCCGGAGCAGGCGCGCCGCCATTGGTCCGCGGCCGCCCTCGCGGCTGCCCATCACCTCTTGTTTACCCTGTCTTCAGGCAAATCCAGCGGGGCCGCCCCATCAACTGCCGCGCCCATTGGCCGACGGGCGGCTCCTCCCGACGCCCTCCGAGCTCTGTTTTACATAATTTATGCGCTGGGAGCCGCCGGCCAATCAGCACCGGCTTGTTTATATAATGAATGTGAGGACGTTTTTCATTCATAAAAAACGCGACCCGAGGGGGAGCCGCGCTGAGTCAGTGAAGCTCTTAAAGGGGCCGCTCGCGAGGTTCCCGCTGGCCTCCGCCGGCGCCGCTGCTCCCGCCACCCCCGCGCGGGGCCGCTTGGCGCCAGGCGTTCGCAGCTGCAGCAGCGAGCTAAGTTATCATTTTGGAGCTCAGGCGAGAGGAATTCGTCATTCCGCACACAGAAACTCGCTGACCCGCCCGGGCGTTCGGCCCGTGGAAACACACAAAACGGAAACCGAGCCCTCTAATCTTAGCTACCTTAAACAGAGGCCTTAAATTTCTCTTCACCGGGTTTCCAGGGGAAGGAATAAGCAGCTATCTTCCTTTTAAAACCTGAGCCCCGCCAGATTTCGGTTACCGTTTCGTGTTGGCAAAAGCCTAAGGGCCCGAACCCGGTCGCGGGGAGCTCCGCAGGCAGAAACCCGGTTCGCGGGCCGCAGCGGGCCGGCAGAGGGCCTTGGAGCACAGATCCCTGTGAAACGTGCGTGCGGAGTCAGAACGCTCACTCCCCTCCCCGGGGCTGCTTGTTTTCCGTTTAAGCGTTGAATGCAAGATGGTGTGTTTGCGAATTAGATCCCGTGCAGCTGGGAACAGGGAGAGGCGGCGTGGCTTGCCAGGGGATCGGGCACTGACTGCGATTGCTGAGATTCCTAACTGGGTGTTCCAGGAAACAAACAAACAGTCCTCTACACCCCCCCCCCCCCCCCCCCAGTCCCGCTCTTGCTACGGACCCCGGCCGATCCCTTCTCTTCCCGAGGAATCTAGGGCGCTTGTGAGCGAGTTCTGTTCTGGGCCGGCCTGGGGGCAGGGTATCGAAGTTTGGACAGCCTCGGCACGAGTCCTCCGCAGACGAACATGCGGTGTGGATTTCCAGGGTCCGCGGTCTTTGCCCGCGCTGCTTGCGTACCAGAGCTGGGGCGCTTGGTGCGTTGGTAACAGTCCTTGACCGGTTTGAATGCTGGCATGAGATCTGGACTCAGGTTCAGCTGGCTGAGTTACCGCTTTCTGCAGGGGGCTGGAAAGAGCACCGGTTGATGTGTGGGAAGGTGCTTTGAACTTTTAACGAGCGGTCCCTTGATATTTAATTTCCTGCTGGAGCGCCGGTTCTGGTAGTGGCTGGAGATTGTGCCCTCCTGTCCTCGTGAATCCAGCTTCTTGCAAGGCCCACCCTGCTTCTCAGATTCTCCCCTGCCAGCCTGGTCTGCTCCCCACCGCCATCCGCCCTGTTCTCGTCAGAGGCCAACCTCCTCTCCGGCTGACTTTCTTCAAGAGTTTCCTACTCTCCTTGGCTTGATTGTCCCAGGTCCCAACCTTCCGAAAGCTCGCTGTAAAGCTCCGGGAAAACAGTGCGGGTCTCCTCACTGGGACTCCTTTACATTCATTCCTACACTTGCCAAAGCTCTCCATTCTTCCCTGGGAAGAGAAACTGGAAAACTGTAGGCTGTGTAGCGACAAACAGAGGCTAACTCAGACGAGGCGTACTTGTGTGGCGTACTTGCTTTATGCTTTATTTATTTGTTGCCTTTTTTTTTTGAGACAGGGCCTTGATAGGTAGGCAGATTGGCCTGGAACTCACTGTGGAGGCCAGACTCACCTCCGGTTCTCTGCGCCCTTCCCCTCCTCCTAACTGTTGGGAGCGCTGTCATGGGCCAACAGTCCTGGGCGGTTATCATAGTTTGGGAAGCGAGCTCATCAATAAGAACTTGCCTAAAGGCACAAGGGCCTGGGTTATAGCCTCCAGCACCGTAGAAAAGAGGGAGGCTGAAGCTACAGTTATGTTATGTGGGAAACTATGCTTCATTAAAGCTATTGATAATTAATAATTCAGTCAGACCGCAAACATTTAATTTGTACCAAATATTCAGCCAGATCCTGCGCTAGGCCATAAATGAGTAAATAAATAAATGTTATAGGGATGAATAGGATCTACTGGTTACCTTGGCTGGCCCATGATGACATGGTTCTCCACAGACTCCTCACAGTTAGTGAGGCTTTGGGGACTATTAATATCTCCACTCTACAAATGAGAAGCTAAGGCCATCCATTGTTGAAAGTAGATAAGAAGAGGTCACATTCTAGAGCCCCCCACCCCCGGGAGTCCCACTCGTGACTGGGCTGAGCAAGCCACCCAGCAACAAAGTCTGAACAGAGTCCAGAGGCCAAAATAGGTTTGACTCCTCTCCGGCTTTTCCATTCCCATCCCCACCCCATTCTCTTTCTCCTGTTATCTCTGCAGATATGAGAGTTAAGGTCAGAATTGAGAAGTTTCTTGTCTGGTACATCGGATCTTTGCTCCTAAGAACATATTTACATAGGGGGATTTGTAGAACAAGTGCTCTAATTATCATTCCTTCCCCTCCAGGAGAGAAACAGAATTGGAAAAGAAAACAAAAAGAGAGCTTCCCCCTGGGACATTCATCTTGTGTCAATCTAGCCTTTGTCCTTGGGCAGTAGCAAAACTCGGTCACAATGAGAAACTAGACTCTTGTTCTTCACATTCGGGTTACAGTGTCAGTTGAAGGAAACAATGAGGGGGTGGGGGGAAGGGAGGAGAGAGGAGAGTCTGGGCTCATGCTTCCTTTTAGAGAACTGCTTTTTACATTGTCCCCCCCCAAAGTGCCAAATGGACAAGCACCCCAGCTTTAAGCTGGTGTCCAAAGTGACGGAAGTGGTCATGTTGTCCCCATGTCCCCTTGTGCCTCCTGTCCCAAGTGCTGTTCGTGGCCCTGGGGTGCAGGAACATAACCCCCGGCTTCTTTCGTGAAGGAAAGGATTTGAAGACAAGGGCTAAATGGTACAGAGATGTTTTCTTCAAAGGCAAGATCAAGAATTCAGGTTTCCTTTCTAAGATTTAGAAATAAGTGCCCCGGAGACTCAAGGGAAGAAGAAGAAGGAAAAAAAAAAAAAAAAAAAAAACAACATTTCACGATCAACGTTTCTTTAAACAAACAGGGGTCCTTGTTGCCAGCTGGGGGACAGGGAGATCTGACAGTTACTAGGAACTTCCTTTGTTGAGAGCCACATAAGCACCAGCATTTCAGCCTACGCTGCCTCTAAGCAGAGCACTGAAATGAATATCCATGTCTACTTTCTGTAGGTGAGGAAGCTGAGGCACAGAAAAGATCCCGGGCCACACAGAGCTGGACAGTGTTACAGTTCAAGTGGCTCTTGTATCGAACAAGTGGCCCCCAGCAAGTGGTACTATTTTGAGGGCAGCAGAGTCTTTAGGAGGTGGTAGAAGAAGGTCCCGAGGGACAGGCTTTTAAAGGCTTCAGAGTAGCCCCGGCTTCAGGCACGCTCGCCGTTTCTTGGTTGTGGGCTCCACTGCAGCCATGGACAGAGCTGCCCTTCCTGCTCTGCCAGATGAGAGAACTCACAAAACTGAAGACCAAGATAAACCTTCCCTCCCTTCAGTCATTTCAATGAGGTGTTTTGGGTCACAGCAACCCAAAAGTAACTAATGCAGAGAGTGTGTCACTGCCCAGAGCTATGTAATCACGAGGTTAAGCAGCCCAGTCCCTTCGGAGCTGTGTGCTTAAAGACAGCAGACAGCGCTGGGAGGGCCAGGCTCTGTCGGAAGGCTTTGCCTCAATTAAACCGCTCCATCTTTCTACCAACCCTCTGGCATGTATACCATCATTCTGCCATTTTTCCGATGGGGAAAGTAAGGCACAAAGGTTGGCGAATGTTTTTCAAGGGCATGTAGCTAGTAAGCAAGAGTTGCAGCCAGGAGCCAAATGCGGATCCTGAACAGGGACCTTGTTCTCCGGCACTGGACTGCAGTCTCCCTGAGCACTGAAGTGTTCCACCTTGCCTTTGGGGTCCCTTCTCTTCATCTGCCTCTGCCGCAAGAGTGGTTCTCTGGGAGCCTGCTCCAGAAATTCCACCTGGGCCTCTATCCTGAGCCAGCAGGATGCGCCGCCTTCACAAAACCCACGTCAGGAAAAGGAATTGTATTTACTGAGCATTCTCTGTTGTACTAAACACCTCACATACAGTGTGTCATATGATGTCCCGAACCCCTGTCACAGGCAGTGCTGCTAGTTTGCTGCTAGGAAAATTTGGGACCATGCCTGAGGGGTGACACTGAAGAAGGTCCTCTAGTCTCCACACATGCACACGCTTTCACACATATGCGTGCCTGAGGTTTCTCATGAAGGTCAGGTTGAATGCATGTTCTAAAACCTCTGATTGGGGTGCTGGGGTCTGGTACCAATATCCCTCTCCTGGCTTCTTTCCTGAGACATTCTCCCTCCTGTCTCCTGCTAATGCTCCGTTCTTAGATCTTAGGAAACATTCACTACCAGAGAAATCTGGAGGAACATGAGCCACCAAGATTTCTGATAGAAGCTGGCTGCAGTGCTTGTAATCCCAGTATTCGGGGAGGCAGAGACAGGCCATCTCTGTGAGTTCAAGACCAGCCTGGTCTACAAAGTCCTAGACAGCCAAGGCTACAGGGAGAAACCCTGTCTCAAAAACAAAACAAAACAAAACAAAACAAAAACAAACCAAAAAAACAAAACAAAACAATAACAACAAAAAATTTCTGATAGAGGGTGGATGTCTTCCTTAAGTACCCCTTCAAACAAACAAACAAACAAACAAACAAACAAATGGCTTCACATGACCTTCAGAACCAGGTCCTACTCTG